CTTAACTCTGGATACTATTTGGACAATTAAAAAAACAAGCCAAAGAAACTCTATCAAAAAATTGTTTTTTATGAGCCCTGAATGCTGCTCAGTTGTTCTTTCACATGTTGAGTATTGTCCCTTGCCCCTGGCACAACACTCTGACCAATACAATCTCCTGCAAAAAGGCGGTCAAGTTTTTTATGGACGTACACTGCTTCCTTTGAAGTATTTCATCCAATGGGGTTTGTGCCTTTGTACCGGTGGGGGGGTGGTGGTTAAGACAGCCTTCCACTGGCAGTTAAAAATGGACAAACCTGTCCAGCTTTTAGAGTACATCCAAAAAAATTGATGAAACTACAACAACAGCATTTCTTATTTTAAGTCTGTGAGGTAGTTTGGTCAAAGATCAGAAAGGCGAACAAAACCAGCATCAGATTCCTCTGATGTTTTTTTAATTTTTCCTTTTTCCCTCTGACCAAACATTTCTTTGAGCTTCCCAGAACTCACTGTCTGTACCCCCAATTGGCCACACACCTTCACTTGAGTGGACCAAGCCACAATTAAACAGCTAGAAATAATAAACAAAGTCTTAGCAGAGACACAAGAACACAATTATTAATCTAATTTACAATCTCATCTACATAATGAAATGTGATACAAGATAACTTTTAAGAAAACAGCAAAGCATTTCTCCAAAGAAAACCCTCTAATTGGTAGAACCCAGCAAGGTAATCGATGACATCATCTGGCCATTTTAGCAGGAAGTACAGGGATAAACAATGGTGAGTTAAAAGGAAAACAAATATCTGGAATATACTTTGAAACAAAATAGATAAGTTCAATCAATAATCCAGAAGTAACTACTTTAACCTAAATGTATAAGTAGATGTAAACTGCAACATAATGCTAAGACAAACAAACTCGGGATAATAAGTGAAGCAAAGATTTTTTTTTACCTGCCTTGAGACTGCAGATGAAAGAAAAACCCCACAAATAAGCACTTGTGTTGAAATTTGACATATTTTTTAATCTTGCTGCTTTTTGCTGCAAATATTCATTATTTCATATTGACCCCAATAAATAAAGTTCTCAAAAGAACATACTGGGAGCACCTAGACAGTGATTTGCAACCTTTACTTTTGATACGAGTTGAAATCGCCTCTTCAACCACATCATGCACAATGAAATCTAACTGCAGCCCTATTTGCTCAGATGGAGGCAGAATGTCTCCCATTAACATTATAAACTGTAAAAACATAAAGGTTAGCAGAAATGAAAATTAAAAGCCAAAAAAACTTTCATACATTTTTGAGTTTATAACCTAAAATGAATCTTAAGTTGAATCTATAACTTGAAAACCTGATTTTTTCAGAAAAACATGATGACCTAGAAAATGTAAGAAATAAACTACTCATCTAAATCCTCTTAGTTAAGAATTTTTACTTATTCTTCTTTCATAACAACTAGCAGAACTTTTAACAGTGGTAACAACCCACAACATAAAGGTATAAGTACAGATAATTTCACTCAATAATGTTAAACATTACAACTACAGTTATTTCCATATAAATATTGTTTTCAGTTTCTCAGTTTTAGACAATTAAAAAAAACTTTTAGCCCCAAGAAAAGATTATTTTTTTTTAGTAAGAGACAGTTTAAGTGATTTAAATGAAAATTTTAGGTTAAAACAATTTTGTTTGTCCTTTAGAGCAAACTAAAGTATTCAGAATATTTGGTTCGTTAGAAGGTTTTCTTAGTTTTTAGTGGGTGAAATGAATGGAAACAGGCTTATAAGGTAGGTGAAACATGATGGAAAACAGCAGCAGTCTCTGTTCTGCTCCGCTGCGGAAGTCCAGTGCTAAGATGTGACATAGCTGCAACCATTTTCCTGTGTGGGCGTCCAACATGGAAAGGAAAATGGTGGACAGTAATGGTGTCACTGAGCTAAAAACTGAATAACTTTTATAAGAAACAGTTAAGAGTTTTTCTTCCTTAGTGGATATTGTGTGACCTGATGTTTTATGTGAATAGAGCTGAATGGAGGGCATCTCAGTGGGGCAGTGGGTAGCACTGCTATATTGCAGCAAGAAGGTTCTGGGTTAGATTCCAGGCCTAGGCCCTAGCTGCTTCTCTCTGGGTACTCCGGTTTCCTCCCACAGCCCAAAAACATGACTGTTGGGTTAATTGGCTTCTATAAATTCTCCTTAGGTGTGAGTGTGAATGGTTGTTGGTCCTTTTTGTCTCCGTGTTGCCCTGCGATGGACTGGAGACCTGTGGAGGTGGACCCGTCTCTCGCTCGTTGACAGCAGGAGATAGGCTTCACCACTCCACTTGTGATAGCATGATGGAAAATGGATGGAGTTGAAGGAATGGATTTGGCCAAAAGTGTTCAAATCCATAAAGAATAACTCTTAAAAATAATCATTTATCCATCTCCTAGATATAGCATTTCAAGTAAATTCATACTGATTTGGTAGCATTATGGGTTTTCATATAAATGTTTAAAACAATGACTTAAACGTTAAAATATGGACATGACCAAGCACATAAATAAAACCCCAATATATTTATATTTAACAAAAAATATTAAATTAATCTGATCCTTATCCAGAATGTATATCAATTAACATTTTAGATCATCCTCTGGTCTCAAAAAAAAAGATTTCCCAGGTCTCAGGCCTTAAGATACATTTTAGGTCTTTTAGGTCTAAAAAAACAGCTTTTTTTTTTTCTTATTAACTAAAATCTTGTCTAACCAGGCAGATATTCTCTTAAAACTTCCTAAAAGTTTGTTCTGGGTTTGTAGACTGATCATGTCCTTGGACAGCAATGAAGGGTATCCTTTGTGGGGGCAAAGGCTGATTGGCTTGAACAGTAATGGTGATTAAAAGTTGAAATTTTAATCTATATGACCCAAAATAAATATGTCTATGTACATTCTCAGTCATCCGGGTCATGGAACCATAAAATGGGTGTAAATTGCAGTTTCTGAAGATATTTTGACAGCTGTCCAGGAGTTTTTATCAGTTCTTTCAGCTGCACCTGAGGAATCTGTAGCTGGAGCACTGATGCATTTTATGGTCCATTCTCCTGCATGGATTCCAAGTCAGATGCTAATCAAAATAGCTGTCATTTTACTGCTGGATTGTTGGAGTAGTTTGTTGTGCATGGGCTTTATGATTGGCGTTTTGAATCACGATGGGTTTGCTAATGTCATTTATTTGGAATGAGTTCCAAGACTGGATTGTAAATGCTTAAGAGCTGAAACCTCAATTCTTCCCCTGTGAAGTGATGCTTTTTCTCTTTGCACAAAGGTGTCTTCCTTCACCCCTCTTTCAAAACATCTGTCCTCTCTGTCCAAATTCTGAACACTTTTGCCTTCAAAGGTGTGTCCTTTGTTATTCAGGTATTCCTGGCTCTCCAATGCTGCTCCTTGTTTAGTTTCTCCAATATAGGAGGTTGTACAGTCCTCACTGCACTCCACTGCATAAGCCCTGTTGGTTATGTTCAGCGCAAAAAAAAAAAAAATACTCTTGAAAGTCTGGTTTCCTTACAATTTGAGACTGTTTTGTGGGGACCCAAAATAAACTTTTTATGTTTTAAGAATGTATCTTTGTTAAACCCAGATATCTGCTTCGGGGGTCAATGTTTCATTGATTTAAAACAAGAACTTTACTGTTTGTCTGGTTTCTAAAAGCTGATCATTTTATTCCTAACACCTGAGAACTGATACAATTTCTCCTAAGACTTTTCGTCTCTGACCCACCCAAACGGGGGCATTCCACCAATCAGAGACTCACCTGGAGGCGTTCTGCAAATCTTGATTCTTATATAACCAAGAGACCGGGAATCAATGGTAAATTAACTATGCTAGATCATCATAATTCAAATTTGGTTCACGCTCTTATGAGAAAAAAGGGAATAAATTCAAAAGGATTATATAAAAGAAGTTATGACTCCTTTAGTTGGTGGCTGTTAAACATGGATTTTTCCTTGCAATTAGTTAAATATTTTTAATCAGGTATTCACCCCACCTAAAAAAGTTAAAAACAAACTGCTGGACTTTGTGGACCAATTTGAAGAGGTTTCGCTTCCCATCTAGAAAGCTTTCTCAATTCAAAATGTCTGGAGTACAATTGAATTCCAGGCTTTATAGAGTAGCCCAACAAAAGCCTTGTTATGGCTTAGAAAACATGCAAATTGAACCAAAAACAGGTCCGCCCCTTTGTAATGGGGGACTGGTAGGGTGGTAGTTGGCCTGGCTTAAAGGGGAGGATGTTTTGACCACCTGCATGGCCATGAAGATTGAGATAATAGCGGGAAGGAATCCACCCTTTTGGAGAGCTATAGGTTATAGGTTTTGGAGAGCTGAGACTTCAGTCCTCCCCCTTTTATTATTATAAGATAATAAAAGAGAGAGGAAACCGGTTAATCAGGAAGTAAACAGCTTGATTATCAAGTGGAGATGGGGTAGGATTAAATAAGCATTAAATATTAAATGCTTCCATTATTGTTGAAAGTGTTTTTTTTTAATGATTTAAATATTTTCATTTTTTCATTTGTTATAATTTCATTTTGGTTTGTAGAACTATCTAACATGTTTGAAATAAAACACTCCTTCATGTAAGTATTTGAACAATGATCCAATGTTTAATTTATGTGATAGTTTTGTCTCTTTTGTCTCTCCATAGATTAGAGGTATGCTGAGGCTTTCAGTTTATCAGTTTGTTTTCCGCTTTGTCAGCAAACTTCAGTTTACCAGCCCCATTAAACAAGACTGGTGATGCACACCGGTTAACAAAGGCAGCTTTTAACTTAAACTCAACTTAGTGTTAACATTTTGCTGAATTGCTAAAATATATTCACTTAATTTTCTCCCCTTCCTTGAATTTATGTATTTTCTCCACCTAAATGAAATAAAAACCGAGTCTAAAGAAGTAAAACACAAAGCACCTGCCTGATTGGAACATTTCCGTATTGTTCAAACCATCCTTCTGAACACAAACTGTTTAACTTACTTATCGAGCACAAAGTAAAGGTCAAAGGCGCCGTGACAGGAGCTCTCCTCCTCCTCCTCCTCTTCCTCCACCGGCAGCTCCGGCTCCGCTCTTGCTGATGGAGAAGTGAGCAGAAATAATCCGACCAGAACCAGAACCAGACGCATGTTCAGCACAATTTTCTGTAATCTGGCTCCAGAGGTTAAACTTTACTCCTTTGTGGGTTGCCCGCGAAAAAACCCCCAACAAAATACACAAATAGACACCAGTTTGATTCTGTTGGGCAAAAAGTAAAAAAGGCTTTCTGTTTAAAGCGTAATGAATGATCATAACCATGCCAATGACAGGCTCAGATGGAGAGGAGCTGCTTCTCAGATGCAGAGAAATGCATTTCTCCAAGAAAATCGTCCAAACAGCTCTGGAAAATATTTTTAAAAAGATCTATTCTCTCAAAGTGTAAACTTGGATATAAAGCTGAGGATGTGATCTGGGCTCTGCAGAGCAGTGCTAAGCTCTGGAAGAAGTGAGCCCATGGGACAGACTCGCCTGAAGTGGCCCAGGTTTCATGTTTCATCCTGAGGAGGAGAGACGGATGGAAAAATGTGGGTTCAGATCCTACTGTGCACCTCCCTCATGTCTAAGAGGAGCATTTAACAGGGAATGGGATGGCTCAAAAAACACGCAGGAGATGTATTATGATTATCCCCAGGAAAACTAGTACTTACATTTTTTACTAAGGTACAGTACAAAAGTAAAAGTAAAGCTTTACTCTGGTAAAAGTAAAGAGACTGCTTGAAATTTTGTAATTTTTTACCGAAAAAATCTTTAAAATAACGTTTTTGTTTGACCATTTCTGACTAAAACAATCAATCAATTTCTTTATTGCCAGCTACAATTTACATTCTAATCGAGAGTTCAGTTTCAGTACAAACCATTCATCACATACATCACATATACTGGAGTTAGGATGCGGGGGGACTGAAAAAAAAATGTACTGAGGCCATGCGTGCCACAGAATGGTGCATTGGGCACGTTCTTATGGTTACCAAGGGCCCCACCATGAGGCAGTTCCCTTATAGCGCTGCCTTTACCTCTGTGGATAGATAGGAGCCACATTGGGGAGGGAGAGGGGGAAAAAAGCGTATTTCACACTTTATCCTTCAAAGAGTACAGTTTGAGATATCAAAAAACCTCAACACAAGAAAAGCAGATACAAACACGCGCCCGTTCTTCTGGGCCCTTCCGCCATAACATTTAGGGGAGGTTTAAAAAGGGGAAAGCCAAATCTAAAATAACACTTAATGTTTGGAGAGCAGGCTGCACAGGCTCTACATGGTGAATCCAATATTGCAAATTTGTTGGACTTTTCCGCCTTGAAGCTAGTGTGCACATCCAAGATATTTTCCCATCTAACCTTTGAGTTCAAACACCGCAGCCAGCCTGCGTTCAATCAAACCCAGCGTATGCCTCAGCTCACGGTCCTGCTCGTTCACAGCCTTGGTCTGATGGTCTGATTAGCAGACTGACACCCCAGTAGCCTTTCTCCCTGAATTTACTTTAGGTTGGAAATTCCCAGCTGTCCGGCCGTGAATATGAAGTCATATGCGTCCAGGTTAAAACGGTCTCACCTACAGTAGCAAACAATCAAAATGTTGTGTTCTAACTCAGGCATCAATTGTAACTCTGTGAAATGTGGAAAAAGTAAAAATTACCCAACATTGTCAAATACGAGCTATGAGAACGAGAAGAAGAGTGCTGCAGTTCTGTGTTTTGGCCACAGGTGGCAGTATCATTTGGAAACCCTGTAATGCCTCTTTAGGTAAAAAACAAAAACAAACGGCAGGTTCTACATTGAAGTTACGAACAAAAGTAAATTTAAGTTTTTTGGCTTAACTCATACAAAATTAAGCTTAAAGGAAAAGTCTGGTGAGCAAGGAATAATCAATGGATCATTATTTATACCTAAAACTAATACGATTGCAGTGATTTAATGAATTTAGGGTTAATCAGTAAAAAAAAATTGTAAATAATTTTCGTCGCAATCACTAAGTCTGGTGGCGGCCATTTTTGCCCAAATATAGTAACCCCTCCCTCCTGCGATCTTCCAGCAGTGGCGTCACGGTGCGGTAAGCCTAGCTGGATGCTGGAATACATCGGTTAAAAGTGAAAAAGA